TCAGTCTCACACCATTGTAAAGTCAAAAAGTGTTTAAGTACAATCATCATAAGTTGGTGACTGTCAGTAACTTCAAAAGGTAACTAAAAAGTAACTTTAAAAAGCTCAGAAAAATAAAACATTATCCAGACAGAGGTACAATAAGGTATTATCTAAAATGTATAATATTCAGTAAACACACACACATACACACACACAAACACATAAACACCTGCAAAGAAATAGAAAAGAATGATCATTACTAGGGAAACAAAAACCAAAACAACTACCATTACAACAAAAAAAAAGTTGGTGAAAGCTGACTCTCAACTGTGCTAAATTTTAACTTTAGCAAAGACTACAAGGCAGTTACTGTATAGATGTTCAAACAATTATTTTTAAAGCTACATTCAAAGACTCAAAAGAAAAATATATGGACAATGATTCAGCATGTAGACACTCTATAAAAAAAAGAGAAAGTCTAAAAAACAAAGAGTTGCTAAGATAAATAAGAATTCTAGAACAAAAGTATAATAATTAAATTAAAAACGTATAAGATACGTGCTTGCTTCGGCAGTACATATACTAAAAGTGGAATGAGACGAAGAAGATTAGCATGGCGACTGTGTAAGGATGACACACAAATCTATGAAGCATTCCGTATCTTTACTCTTAGCGGTGGACGACTTCGCTGATGCGTTGATGAAGAATGCAGCTAGCTGCAAGAATTAATGTGAATTGCAGGACACATTGACCATTGACACTTTGAATGCACTTGGATACCTGGAGCTCCAAAAAAAAATGTATTAGATAGGTTCTATATCATTCTCAGATGATAGAAGAACCAGTGAACTTGAAACTAAAGAAATAGAAATCCATAGAAATTCTTGAATCTAAAGAAAGAAAAAAAATTTAAGAACAAATGCATAAGACTTCAATTTACAGCTCAAAGTGAAGAATGCCAACAAATACATAATGAGAATCACAGAGGAGAAGAGAGAGAAAAAGTGGCTAAAACAATATTTGGGAAAGCAATGAGAGGAGTTTTCAAAACTAATGAAACACATTAGTCTACAAACAAACTCAGTGAAACGCTTTTAGGATAAACATGGAGATTCATAAAGGAACACATTATAGTCAAAATTATTAGACACAGAGAGGAATTATTGAATTTATCAAAAAAAAGTAAATTTTTTATTCAGGGAAACAGTAATGAAGCCAATGGTTAAGTTTCCATCAGCACCAATGGAGGCTAGAACACATTGGAATTACATATTTAAATGCAAAAAGGGAAAAGAAGGCAACCAGAAATTCTGCATCCAGTGAGAACACGGTTGAAAGCTAAAGGAATATGAAAATATTCTTTGATAAGGAGAATAAATGTGTTAATAGAAGCTAAGATTTACAACAAATTCAAGATGCAATCCTTCAGACTCACAGGAAATGATAGCAGACAGGAACAGGAATCCACAGGAAGGAATGAAGAACTCAAAAGTAACAAAGAACAAGGCAAAAGCTAGGAGGGAAAAAAGACACAATACAATTTATATGAGGTTCAACACATATTATAGTGTTACAGTGTTAGATGTCAGAACGACAGTTACCATGGTTGGGATGGGAAGCAGTTACTGACTGGGAAGGCGCATGAAGGAAGCACAGACTATGCAAAATATTCTATAGTTCCACCTTGAAAGTGAATATGCACAAACTTCATTCAGTTACCCACTTAATATTTGTTATTTACTGTGGGGATTTTAGCAACTAAAATAAAACTAATTTTTAAAACCTAGATGGTAAAATAAGTATAAAAATAATAAATACAAATAACTGGCCAGGTGCGGTGGCTCATGCCTGTAATCCCAGCACTTTGGGAGGCTGAGGCAAGAGTGTCGCTTGAAGTCAGAAATTCAAGATCAGCTTGGCCAACATGGTGAAACTCTGTCTGTACTAAATATACAAAAATTAGCCAGGCGTAGTGGTGCATGCCAGTAATCCCAGCTAGCTGAGGGGGTGAAGCAGGAGAATAGCTTGAACCTGAGAGGCAGAGGCTGCAGTGAGCCGAGATCCTGCCACTGTACTCCAGTCTAGGTGACAGAGTGAATGAGACTCTGTCTCAAAAAATCTATATATATATATATATATAAGTAAATTAATAATATACAATAAAATTAAAATCAATATATACAAAATAAAATTAAATAAATAAAAATAACCAAATATTTATGGAAACTCAGTCTATTGAAGACAAGTGTAAAATGTGTCTGAGAAAATAAAAACAAATTCGAAATCTCTTCGAGGAAATAAAAGAACATGATTAAATATGTCCCTTTTTTCACTCAGGCAGCACAAACTTTATTAGGTTCTCTCCAAACACAGAGAACACATTATGTCACTGTGCTCACACTTGATGTCCCCATATTCTCTTTGTCTCTTTCCACCCCACTGCACCCACCAGGGGATTTGCATACTGTCCCATAGGGAGGACCTTCCCTTGAGAGTCTGAGATAAAAGCTCAGCTCTAACCTTGCCTTATGATCAGGACTCCTCAGTGCACCTTCTCACAATGAGGTTCCCTGCTCAGCTTCTGGGGCTGCTAATGCTCTGGGTCCCTGGTAAGGACAGAAGGGAGATGAGGGAGGAGAATGGGGTGGGAGGGTGAGCTCTGTAGGTCCCATTACCTGTCCACATGCCATCTTGACCTACAAGAAAAGGTGTAGTATAAAGTTTAGAAGTGCGAGAGTGAAAAATAGAAGATTCCCCTCTCTTATAGTTCTAAATTTCATATCCCAGAAGGAAAAAGGACTGGTGAGCTTGTGAAGAGTGTGACACAGGAAGAGGAAAATAGTGTAGGCAACATCTTGAGGCCCCTTTGTGCCTTGTGAATGTTGGTTCTTTTTAAACCTGAATGTTTAGGGGTATGAACCAAAATCACACAAAAATTACTTAGCATAAAGTAAATAACAGAAAGAATATCATTTTAATGGTTCACAATGTTTGTACATAACCTTGCACTTCTCTCACTATTTCAGGATCCAGTGGGGATATTGTGATGACCCAGACTCCACTCTCCCTGCCTGTCACCCTTGGAGAGCCGGCCTCCATCTCCTGCAGGTCTAGTCAAAGCCTCCTGTATAGTGATGGAAACACCTACTTGTATTGGTACCTGCAGAAGCCAGGACGGTCTCCACAGCTACTGATTTATAGGGTTTCCAACCGTTTTGCTGGGGTCCCAGACAGGTTCAGCGGCAGTGGGTCAAGCACTGATTTCACACTGAAAATCAGCAGGGTGGAGGCTGAGGATATTGGGGTTTATTACTGCATGCAAGCTCTAAAACATCCTCCCACAGTGGTACAACCCTGAACAGAAACCTCCCTTCTTACTGTGGTTTAGCTGCCCACATGTGTTGTTTATCTGGAGGGCAGACACTGTAGATTATCTTGGGAGGCTAAAGAGGAAGGTGCTGGAGAACCCAGGAGAATGCATTACAGCTGAGGGCTCTTAATCATCAATGTCTCAGTTACATCTCAGGTACCACTGTTTTAGTCCTTATCAGCTGCAAGAGTCTTGGCCTGGCAGAACCTGCAGGAGAATGGAGGAAGGTCAGTGTTCTCTGAACAACCAGACATGCTGCAAGGGAAAGCTGAATCAAAGCTAATAGTAATCCCCTCTGCCTTGCCTACATTCATTCATCAACTAAACTCATTCAGCCTGACAGCCACCTAAATGAAACAGATTAGTGGCAATGTAAAACTAATACATTCTTGGTTTTGATTTGGTTTAGCAGTTACTAGTTTATATGTACCTTGATAAGATGTGATGACGCTAAAACAGTTTCCCTCCCATATTCTGCTGTCCATTTTCTTAACATGCATCTCTCTCTGGGACAGCAAAAAGAACAGCACAGCATTTTATCCTTTTTTTTCAGGGAGCGCTTGAGTGTATTTACATCTAGACTTTTTAACTACTAGATATGTTTTGGTAAGTTTATACAAAAACAAAGATCTAGTGACAAAAATCTTTGAACAATCTTATTCACAGTATGTTGAAATGAAAAGAAAGTCCTATGAAATCCACAGCTGTGTTTTAAAAATAAATATCCAAGTTTGAAAAGACAAAGGAAAAAAATATATATATATACCATATTCAATGGAATCTGGATTAATACAAAATAACATATAAGCTAATATTTTGCCACTTGAAAAACCATAATCTGAAGACTCTGGGCAGAGGACAGTAAATGAGAATGTGAGGGCAGAGGTTACTCAGTTAGTGGTGGTGTCTTGGGGTTGATATATGAACCCAATTGGAAGCTCTGATGCATTTCTTAGGGAGAATCACAGAGTTGTGGGAATTTTGTGTGGAGTTCAAGGCTGTGCTCTGATGCAATGGCAAATTCCCAGGGAAGTATTGCATCACACAGTCTTTAGTAACTCAAAGTCTAGAGAAGTTCCTGTCCAAATGTACCTCAGGTCGTGTCACACATTCCTAGTCAAACCAGCAGGACATAGAAGAGCTCGAAAAAGTACATTCTGCCTCCATCATTTACCTGGGAATGATTAGAGAAAGAAATAATCATTCAGTTCAAGAAACGTTAGTTAAAATAAAGAGGATGCTGACCAGAGTGGTGAAGGGGGCTAGGAAGATCAGTAGGAGGTGTAGTGGAGGGAACCCAAGGCCCATATTTCAAACACATGTAAGGGAAAATCAGGGCAACATGGTAGGGAAAACTCAGGAGAAATCAGGAGGTTTCACTGTGTCTCTCTAGCCAACCCATGCAGCTACCATTCTCAACCCAGACCTCAGCAAATGTGCCAAGGAGAAATTCTGCCTGGGGTTAAGGGGTCCACTCATGCCATATAATCCATAATCTGTAAGGCAGGTACATGCCACTGCCAAAGGTGAGATGAATTCCTCACTCTTGGAGTGATCTTCTGCCTGGGCCAAACCAGAATCTCCAATCACACTCACATTTGGCCAATTTTGCTAAGGCACAAAGTGACAGGAAGACTTAAGGCAATATACAAAAGCATCTTTTCACTGTGGGATTTTTAGGCCATCTGTTCTTTATTTTTTCTGTAACTCTCTGATGTTATAAGAAATACAGTTTCTTAAATTTATTTTTGCTCTCCTGCATTTGTTGCAATTTTTGTGTCCATCTTCTAAGGCCTATTCCTTACTGCTTCACTATCAAAAGTGAAATTTTAAATTACATTACAAAGTGGGAATGTCACTTTGAATATTATATTGCAAAACATTCACATCTATATCAATAAATGCATATGGCATATGGCAATGAAGGAAAAAACAACTGCAGAAATGATAATGATCATGCCAGAGTTTAAAATTCTTGATACTGAATACCAAATATGGAATACCAAATTCCATATTCCAGCAATGTATGCATAAATTATATATATATATGCTTTCAATATACTACATTTACAATAGTACTTTAATACTATTTTAATCCAGTAAAATGGCATATGTATTATTTCCTCATGTTATGGTAGAAGTCGATGGTTTGAATTAACAAACCATAATGATCTTGCTTTTGATTTCATAAGT